ATTAATTGAGTAATAATTATATTTTCTGTTGTATCATGTAATAGTTATTATTAAAATTAATAATTATATTTTACACTAAATGATATAGAAAGTTACATAAATATAAAATATTATATTGAAAACTTTTTGTTCAAGTTATTTATTCTAAAATCAGCATTATATTTTTTTATCTGATTAAGTGATTGTTTTTTAATAAATTATTTTGTTTTAATGCCATAGTAAAATCCCTTAAAATCACATAAGCAATTGGTATATTAAATTTAATATTTTCAACTATTAATTAGTCATTATCACTCAAAATTATAGAAAAATATATTATTTATTACATTTTATGCAGTCAATATGGTGATTCATATACAATCAAATCGTTATGTACTATTTATTTTAACCAATGATCAAATTTTAGAACATAATACCGCTAGCTAACTTATAATTTTAATACTATATTCATAAATATATGTTTACAATATAATACCATTATCTAACTTATAAATTTAATTATATGCATACAAATAACTTATATTATTTTATTTACATCTGTGCAAATGCACAAGGTCGAAAACTAGTATAGATTCAACTTCTACGATAAAACAATAAATGATACATTAAATCAAATTTGAATATTTATAATGTAGTAATAAAGGCTCAAAAGGTCACAAGAATCATATCTTCATGAATTACATTAACCAAAGGCATCGAACCCATCATTCAAATTCAAATGTTGTTAATTCCGATGAGCAAATTGTTTTATCATCGAAAGTTTTCAGTAAACTTATGTTGTTTATGATATGCCTGAAACTAAGAAAGGTAGGTTTCAACAACAACAACAAACCCAAGAGAACCAATGGTAAGAGAAACACAAAAAGGGCTCAAAACAAAAGGAAGAGATTGAAGCAAAAGAGAAAAGAGCAAAAGTCACGGTTCTGGCACGTTGATTGCTAGGTTCCAAATCTATATTATTCGTTCTTTTGCTATAACCTTCTTACCAAATGGAAACATGGAGGATTAATGTCCACAGATAAAGGATGTCATACCTCAATAATCCTTCCTTGGGGACAACCCAGATCGTTTCATTCAGCTGCAACCAATAAGAAACCAGATCTATGGTCCCCAGGTGAGAGAAGCTACAAATTATAACCAGTATTAAAAGAAAGGTATACAAACTCAAGGAACACGCATTAACATATTCTTAAAAGGCAACCATAATATTAAAATATTCAATCCACAGGAGTTTGCCAACATTTTTCAGAAGGAACAATCTCTTTAGAAGATATTAATAACGACAGGCTCGACATATATTAAGGAAATTTACAAGTTATTGGATGAAACTATTTACAGAAGCTCAACTGGACCCCTTCCGATTCAGAGAAATCCAAATGTGTTCTCGCCACTGTAAGTCATGTAAAGGAAGCCATCCTCATCTTTATTCTCCTCATAGATTGCGGACATCATTGCAGCTGCAGTATCACGCATCAAATAACGTGTGACAAAGAAAAGCCAAAATCTGCATACAAAACTATGGTCATAAAAGACATCAAAACCTATTGCATTATTCCTTACCAGTCGGTGGGAGAATGTTTTTTACAAAGATGAAGATAGCCTTCTCAGCACTAAGCTTAATTCTTTTGCGGACAACATAAACGAATTGACCAACAGTTAGGTCAGCAGGAACAAGATATCTGCAATTTTTTATTCAAAATTCATTATGGGACTAAAGTGCATTATGCTTGGATACAAATTTATCTAAAAAAATCCAATTATCATTTTTTTAATTCAACCTCACTATCATCCATTGTATCAATATAATTAAATAATAACAATCAATCATTAAATAATAACAATCAATCATTCTTACACACCACATCAACTATAATTCAATATTCATCCACTCACATAATTTTAACTAACCATCACTTCAAATCATCTCTCTCCTATTTTTACATCAAATCAACTTTAATTATTTTATTTTAAATATTATTTTAATATATCTACTAACAACTAACCATTCCACCTTTTTCAAAATTAACTAAACCAAATCAAAAAATCCAAACAAATCCAAAACTTTTTATATCCAAGCATTTACCAATCCGGAACAAGATGTCTATATGTGTAAGAAAAAACACAAAGTTATTTATACTTATTATCCACTAAAAGATGGTGGATAAACTTCTTATGATGTCACCATCTCCATTCTCCAGAATTATTTAGGGTTTTCTCTAATTGAAAGATTCAAAATTTTCCTAATATGACTGGATGTCTGGAGATTTTCGTTAAAAGAAATGTAAACTTTAGGATGCAAGTCAAATGAGGTTCCATGAATAACCCAAATATAAGAAGAAACTGAAAAACGGCTAACTTTTTCTTGTCAATGTCAGGAATGTCACTTCTTTCCGCTTTCTCCACAATAACCTAAAATACCAAAAGCAATGTAAATTGTTTATTATTGGTGACAGGCAGAAAACTAGAATACTCGAAAAAGATGCACATTATACCGGAATTCGGTCCGGGTACTTCTCCCTGATACGAGCAGCTTCAGCCTGCCGCCTCTCTGCAGCATGTCCAAAATAGTGATGTAATATGCACGGTAAAAGGACAACAAAGGAAAACAAAATACTGGTAGGCACTTGGCACTTTTTACAATCCTTGTGCCTCCTAGAACATAAAACCTTGATGGCTTTTTCATACAAGGACAAAACCACTTCACACATAGAACATCAACAGAGAATAACATCATAAAAGGACAAAATCAAGTCATGTATAGAACATTAACAGAGAATATACATTGTCTTCATTTTTAAAGTGGTAATTACTTTCATATAATCCAAAAGTTTTCTAGCAATTCTAAGGTACCAGCTGCAATAGGCGATGGCAAAAAACCCAGAACACTCTAAAATCATTATATGGACTGAAAGTCAATCCTCATGTAGTAGGCACATACATAAATCAAATTACTGCACACAAATAACATAATTCAACTACAGCAATTGATCGAAACTAGAAACAAACCAAAACCCACACAATCCTAAGTCGGATCTTGCAAATTCATTGATATGCATAGTTGGATGGTAAAGTATAGAAACTCCGGAAAATTTGAATCCACAACACACAAATCAACAAATCACATCACCAGAACCATAAGAGGAGACAATAACTAGGGATAATCAATAATGAAAAATCCAATTATACCAAGAGGATGTTCCAACTTGAAGTAACTTTTAGCCATGCCGTCTACAGCAATCGACTTTCCCAACTGCGAAAACAGAAGATAAAAGATAGATCGTATACAGTCTCTTGCCCTAAATCAATTAAATCGTATACGGAAAATAAATAATTGTGCCAAAAAGGAAAAGGAAATTGAGAACCCTACGAGACGGAGAGTTGGGGGAGAATAGATATCAATAATTTGCGTCTCTCTTCCGACTTTATCCTTTCAGGGAAAATCAGTAAGTCCACCCGGTCCAGCCCAACCGGGACGTCCTTATATATTAATTAAAGCAAGTTTTGAAGTCCGAACCCATCAAAATATGAAGTTACCGGTTTAATGGTTTTGGACCAATAGTCAAACCGGATTAATGTATAATTTTATTTATTTATTTTATATATATAATATGTTATTGTATATATTTTTTATCATTAATGTTAAAGCATGTTTAATGGTCTAATGTTGTTATATAATACATTTTGATAAATGTCAATAAATTAAATGGATTACGAACCATGTAGGAAAAATGTTAAATTTAAAACTGTAAAATTAAATAATTATCTCTAATGCAATAATGTAGTTAAACTACAATATTATTTGCGTACCAAATATTAATAATTCATTCCCTTTTCTTCATTGGCTAATTGGAGTATGGAGGAGAATGTGGATGACCCACATTCTTCTCTACATTCTTGGAGACATTTGTCAATTAACCTTAGGTATATTACGAGGCAATTTCGTCTTAAGAAGAACGCAATTATTACGTGTGTGTGTCTCGACTTTGATTTTGGTTTTTTTTTTTTTTTCTTCATTCTCCTTAAGACATCTTCTTGGTATTCACAAACCACACAAATTACAATTACATTTTCAAATAGGAATCCGCACGATTCTCTTGGTTTATTTTCTTTAACGATTTTCTTGGTGTATCTTCTTTAATGATGAAATAGAATACCTCAATTGCTTTCACACTAGTACAGAGCCCGTGCGATGCAGGGGGTGCACAATTTTAAGGCTATTTATCCAGACTTATAATTATATACATGAATACAAAAAAATGTACGGGATATATATAGTACGTGACGCGTGCGAGGCACGGGATATATTTATTTGAGGAATACTATATTATAAGATGCAATATTCAATAAAAGTTTTATAATACGCAGGAAAATTATACAATAAGATAGTATTCGACAACAAACAACCATATATTAATAAAGACCACCTTGTACACAACATTATGAGTTTGATTTTCCATACAATAATAATAAGATTTTTTGTAAAAAGATAAGAAGGAATTTTCAATCTACACAAACTTTAAACATTAGATGTATTTACGTAAATCAATGACTATATAGACATTTAAACCTTTCAATTTAGGCTTGACATCTACTTTATTTATGGGTGACGTAAAATAAGGATTTAATTTTGACCGATTAAATCTTTATTCATAGGCTTGACATATAAAACTTATTTGATGGGATTTTCTTAACTAAATCGATGCTATGGGATAAACCAAATCTATACTTACCTTTGACTTTTCCAACAAAGGTAAAAAAATCGGTTCTAATTTTTATCCCATAACAAATCTTTAATGTCAAGCCTATAAACACCAAAACAAATCTGTAATTAATATCATTCTATTTCCAGCAAGCATTAATTACCTTTGACTTTTCTGCCTACTATTTCTAGTAAATAGGATGACTTTTTATATAAGTATAGATTTCATATAATGCAAATACTGAGATCATAAAAAAGAATCCTAAAAACTGAAACAATATATTTGCATAATTTAAGGCTATTAAGAAATCGATCTCTAAACCAGATTTGATTTTCAGAATATTTTTTTTCATTTCGAATTCCATACAAAATGGAATTCTTTCCAACCAATAGATGTCATAGCAAATATTAACTCTTAACTATTAGATCTTAACTATTAGACTATTAGTATTAGTACATACCGAACAAATTGTGTACTGATTTTAGAAAGTTATAATGATTCATGTTAGGTAATTTTACATTTTATGCATGTTGAACGGTGGGTTTTAAATATCGTTTCATAGAATGTAAAAGTGTATTATATTATTTTTATGAGATGTTGAATTTGAAAATTAATAGAATTCTTCTTCATAGGAATTTTAAATGTAACAATATTCTTTGGTATACACTACTAATAAAATCTATATTTAAAGTTTATATTTTTTTTTTACCGGAAAAAATTCCTTAATTTAAGGAATCATATATCTTCAATCAGTCCACATATATGTACATTCTTCACAGTTTTAAATCTTGAATTTGATGAGAATTCGTATCTATGAGTGCAAAACATGGTTTAACAAATTAATTTTTTATTATTATTCGAGCCATACTTCTTTATACGATTTTTTGTGAAAATATAAAAGTAAATTCTTAATTTTAAATCAGCCGTACATTAAAGAGTACAAATTTGTTGAAATTACAAAAATAGTTTTTTACTTTTCAACAGACGTAAATTTAAATTAGTTATAAAAAAGTAATATTTGTTTACCATTTAAATATTAAATCAGCCGTAATTAATGTTGTTTGTTTTAGTCCACGATTTTCTCCAAACTAAATTAACAACTGCCATGATTTAAGGGTAACATTTAATGCTGCTCTATTTTTAGGAGACATTAAATGTATTTGGCGGGAAAAACTTGCTAAAAGTGTTAAATGGTTAATCTTTTAATATAATGATAGATTCCAGGAAAAATACATGAAATAGAATACCTCAATTGCTTTCACATTCCAGGAAAAATAGTTCTCCTCCATCAATATTCAGTTTCGTTAAGATCGACTCAGCTCGACTCATTTAATCTACATTCTAATAATTCGGAATCAACCGAAACATAATGAGAGATTGCTGTACTAATAGAAAACAGAACACAGCATCGCACAAGATCATCAACAGCAAACACTATCTGTAACCATTTAACCATAACAGAAGTTGCACGTGTGTTTTGGGTTCATGTGGAAACTCAATAAACTCTATGAATATACAAAAGGGTCTCAAAACTCTGAGGCCCTTTGTTGCTCAGACTCTTTACAAGTGTTGAAAGGAGGCTCGAACCTTCTGAAGAGCCTGTAAGAAGATATCACGGCCAAAACAAGGACACAACAAACGGCAATCACGTGCAAAGCCAGTGCCACTTTCAATCTGTTGCAAAAGCTACCGAATGAATCACAAGCTCGACTCCAAGAAACCAATAGATCGCCATTGTAAGCCAAGTAAAGAAACTCCACAAGTGCAGCCATTGATGTCACCATTAAGTACGCTAATACCTGGTTAGAGAGATCAGCAAATAATGCCAGCTTAACAAAGTTATTAACAAATTAGGAAGATGTTTAATGAATTCAGAAGGCATTGATGTCAGTCTTGCACACAGAACATTCAAATTTATCATGTGTATAGTATAACAAATTTAAGCCATGTTTGCTTTTGTCATAATCAAGAAACATAAACGAGTCCCTTACAAGGGGAGCAAACACTAACAGGTAGTTGCAAACTTTGGAAGAAAACTGGGTTCTTCTGTAACTAAGTTAAGGTTGAGGGATTAGTTTGATAATCAATACTATATATGTTTTAAGTTTATAATGGCAGATCAAATGCAGAGTGGCAAAACTGTGAACGGGACCTATATTTGGAATATCATAATTAATAGGACCCCAACAAGATTCAGAAATTTGGAAGACAAAAAATCAATTCAGTTGTACTTGTTGGAGAAAATTGATTGCATCAACCTAACAACACTCAAAACATGTACTTATTTAATACATAACATCTCTCTCTCTCTCTCTCTCTCTCTCTCTGTCTCTCTCTAAGTTGAGATTAAAACCTGATCAGTAACAAAGAAAAGCCATGCTTTAGTGAGCAAGCATCGGAGATATAAAGACACAGCTGCAAAAAAGGCATATCCAGCACAAATTGCACTGATGCAGACCATATACCTGTTCCATTAATTATCACAAATTAATAATGATAACTGATATACATATATGTATGAGAAAAGAACTTAACTTTCAAGACAAGCACAAGAACCTTGAAACTGAAAAGAGTAAGAACAGCAAAAAAATTTAGGGGAAAAAAGAAAAAGGAAATTTCTTACTTGAGTCCAACGAGATTGCTGAACTCCAATTTCCCATAGTCACTGTTATCCTGCTTGCTGGTGACAGCAATCCATATAGATGCAACATTAAATGGAATTACAAACAACCTAATTGAAAAATCCAATAGTTTTACATGGCCACCGCTAAAGCCCATCTCACCAATACAAATTAAGAAGCAAACAAGAAAGAAATGAGAAACAAAAAAGAAGCTACAAAAGGAACAGAAAATGTGTAGGAAGGAGTAGCAATAGTTCGTGAGAAAGAAGATGTGGTGGACAGCAGTTATAATACTTGAGTGAGCTTTGTAGTCAAATTTTGTATCTTGAAGAGGGAATGAAAAGGGCCTCTCATTCCTCAAGGGCTGTTGGATGAGTGCCAGATAAACTCCCTGCAACAGTGTAAATGTTTTTTCTTTTCTTTTCTTTTGTTAATGTAAATTATGTGTAGGGTCAGCATGGCTTTTTTCTGGTGAGAGAGAAAGAGAGTAATTACTAATTATGCAAAGTGGGGTTGGTGTGGTGGTAGGAAATATTTGGAGTGTCATTGAACTACATCTCATATTATCCTGATTTCTTTCATACTTTGGAGTATTTATTTTTATTTATTTTTATTATTTTGTTTCATTAGAGACATTATGCATCTGCATTTTTTTAAAAAATACACGAAACCCCCTTATATTTTAGTAATTAGTGCATGATTCTTTCGTTTTGTTCAAGTTAACGGCACGTGTAACACACCTTCTATACTTTATTCAATTTTTATTTCACAGATTTACTAATTTACCATTATATCCTCCTGAATTTTATTGCTAATAGTAAAATTTCTCTAACAGTGGGATTCAAACCGAGGTTCCAAGGCAATGAGTATGACCACTCAACCACCAAGCCATAAAGATTCTTGTGTAATTGTTGAACACAAATATATTTATAATATCATACCTAAACGAATTAATAAAATAAAAACAAAGTAAATAAAATAAAATAAAATTATAACAGGTAAATTTAATATAAATTAAATAATAATAGCTTGCAATAAATTATATTAAAATAAAATAATATAAAAACTAAAATAAAGTAAGATATAATTTATTATAAATAATTTAAATAAACTTTTTCTTTTACATATAAATTTGTAAATGAATAATAATAATAATGTTTAATTAAAAAATAAATAAATTAAAGTAAAATATTTAAAATAGATTAAAAATAAAATAATATAATATAAAAATTGTAAAGTAAAATAAAATAATAATTGAAATAACTTATTATGAAATAATAAATTAGGGGTGAATAAACATCTTAAATTATTATAATAAAAAATATTATTTATCGAATAATTTTAGCATGATTTACTCTTACATGCAATATGAATTAGAAAAATTAGAAATAAATTATTATTTTTTAGTAAATGATATTAATCAGAAATAAATAATTTTAGTTTCTAAATTTTATTTAGTAAAATTTATTTTAATTTTATTTTATTTTCTTAAGTTAAAAAATAAATAAAAGTTGTTAACTAAGATAAAATAAAATAAAATAAATAATGCGACAGAATAATATGGAATAATATAATTTAAATAAATAATAAAAAATAATAATAGGTGAAAATAATATAATTAAATAAAATAAATATTATGATTTTAACTTATTTTCTTATAATTATCTGTAAGCTATTTTAAGTATTTTATTTTCATTTAATTTTATATAATTTTGTTTATTATATTTTAATTTATGTTAAGTTTATATTCATTAATTTAATTTAATAATATACATTATCATTTAAATTAGTTTGATTTATCCTTTTGTAATGTATATATATAGTAAACATTATTAGATATAACACTCATCCTGGAGTTGTGTGGTTGTGGAAATATTCCAAGGGTATAACGGAATTTTTGTAAAAAAATTAACTCCGTTAACGGGAAAAATGAAAAAACAAAAAAAAAAGGTAGTGTGTGTATCTTAATTAAATATAAAGGGGCATCATGATATTTTTAAAACACAAGAGAATAAGGCGCACATTTCATATAATAAGGTGAGTTTGTACAATTTTCTAATATAAGCAATATGTGTGACACATGTCAGAAATGAGGAAAAATACTATAGGTACATAATAAATGTACATAGAGGTGTACATAACACTCGCATGGAGTGGGATCTACTTGATATTTTATTTTTGAAATGACCCACTTAATGTGAGTGTTATGTACACCTCTGTGTACATACCTATAACATTTATCAGAAATGAGATTGCTATCTTTCAAGTTTTTCCATTACAAAAACCATCACCTACTCAAGAGAGACAATAGATAAGTAATAGTTTCCTCCAAAATGACAAATATACTAGACCACATAACATAACTTGATGCAAGTATGCAACACTAAACACAGCTTTGGATTTAGTTCAATAACTTGATTACATGATTTATTGTTGCTTGAGATAATCCGACACATGAAACGAAAATAACACACAAAAAGAAAAAAAAGAAAAAAAGAAAAAAAAATGTTTGACCCATCGACGGAATAGGAGTTTATAATTTTTTTTAATAAATAAAAAATACCTATTTTTTGTTGAAACATCACATACTAGCGTATATATTTATTAAAAGGTTATGAGGATGCCATTAGAATTGACGCCATAATTAATTTTGGTTGAACTGTATCCAACAATAATAAGGTACTTAATCAACAAACTCGACCATAACCGATATTCATTTTAATGTGAACCGATAACCATCCACTTAATTAAACTTCAACGCATTCAGTTCTTGAATTTCATCTACATCCTAAAATGTTCCTAAATTAGTAATCCTCACTTCCAATATTCCTAACTTTTTCAGAAAATTCGGAAACAAGAAGACATGATCACCAAGTTGGGTCGACCCAAAATCATGGTGGGCCAAACTCATCGACGAATAATAAAAATCGAAAGACGAATAATTTCTTGTCCGAAATTTACTAATGCAAAGGCCATAGTGTAGCTGAGGTTGCATTAATACTGAACTGAGACAAAATATCAGGTTTAGGAAAAACAAAAAATAAAAAAAAAATAATGAAGCCACAAACCAAGTTGATCATAATAATGAAGAAAGAATGAGTTCAAAGCTGTGAGAGAGATAAAAAATAAAAATGACCCAAACAATGCAAAGAGCAGCAAAAACTAGCTCAACAATATACATTTATTACAAGAATATCGAAAACCCAGCAACGTGGTTTATGAACTCTGCTCCTAATTCCTAATTGAGCTGATATGGCAATCTATTCTAGTCGGCTAAAACATAAGAGTGCGCTCTTCTTTCTTCCTATCATCTCTATATATTACAATTATATATATATGACAACATTTTTTCTGAGATTGAAATATTAACCTTCATGGAGTTCTGTGACAAATGTCCTGAGATAGGACATATATGATGTTGAGATGCATAAGAAGAGCACTAGAAATCCGCACTCCACACAGCATTTCCACCTTCACCGCATCTTTTGTGCACTTCCTTCATTCTGTCGGCCGAATTACAAATCCCACTACAGCTCCAGTCGAAAGATGCCACGCATATGTTGCCAGCCTGGGCCTTCCACTCGCAATCTGGGAATGTATATCACAATAGATAGGATATTCATGTCATCTTTTTTTTTTTCACAATTAGAAAGGAATTAATGTTGTGTAAATGAGTGTGTCTGACCTATTGATTATTATTATTATTATTATTATTATTATTATTATTAGTAGTAGTAGTAGTGGTGGTGGTGGTGGTAGTGGTAGTAGTAGTAGTGGTGGTAGTAGTAGTAGTGGCAGTAGTAGTGGCAGTAGCAGTAGCAGTAGCAGTAGTGGCGGCTAAATTCTTTGGTCCCTATTTTAATAAACTTAAGTGCATGCTTGGATACCAATTTTCTTAAAAAAAATAAAATCATTTTTAACCAATCACTTTTTTTAACTCAAATTTAACTAAACCCCACTATCCTCAATATTATCAATATAATTAAACAATATCACTCAATCATTTATACACATTCCATCAACTTTAATTCACTATTCATCCACTCACATAATTTTAACTAACTCACTTCACATCATCTATTCCTACTTTTACGTCAAATCAACTTTACTTATTTTATTTTAAATTTTATTTTAGTATAAACTCAAAATCACATTAATAATTAACCATACCACTTTTTTCAAAATTAACCATACCAAAACAAAAACTCCAAACAAAATCAGGACATCTTATATCCAAGACGATCAGACGATTTGAAGTTTTTTAGACCAGTTTTTCTTCGAAAAAGTTCCGTTACCAGAGAAGAGTCCGTACATTTTCCATGATTATCAGTTAAAATAAAAGGAAAAAAAGAAAAAGAGGGCGAATTATAAAATATGCATTTTTCATTGGCGTAATCGTGATTCATAAATGCTCCCAAGTTTCCCACTAGTAATTTGTCATTTAAGCAAGAAAAAAGGAAAATCTATCCACGGTTATGTATTATATCATTTGCCCTTATACTCCGCGATAGTGCTTTGGAGCACAACATGGCGACAAAACACATACTTTTGAGTTAGAAAGAGTGTTGTTTCTTGTTCTCAACCAATAGGACAAAAGAAGAGAAAAGAAAAAAGAGTAGAAGGATACCAGGAGGGGTCCCACAACATAATCTTCGGTCATCTATGTGCTCCACATCCAACCCAATAAACCACGATCCCAGTGACACGTCCTCATTTGCATACTTGTGAAGTACATGCCTATCAAAACAAATTTATTCACCAAACTAAATTGCCTGAAACATGATCAAGAAACTAGCCTATGGTGGAAAAACAAAGCGTACTGGTTTATTGATATGTAAGCTGCCAAGTCTCTTGAAATAGCATATAATTGCCCTGTTGCATGACGAAAATACTTATTTCCTTGCCCACCAAATTTCCAATACTCAGGCTCGTGATATCTCACTCCCCTGTACGTAAAATTATGAAAATATAAATAAATTTCGGGGAAAATGCTAATAATGTCTCCTAAAAAATGTTACTCAGGCTGACTCATAGAAGCTTGCTTACTTTTGAGCCAGGACAGGCCCGGATTTCATGCACCCAATATAAACCCTTGGTCTCAAACGATGCCTAGCTAGCGTTGCTCCAAGTGTGGCTGCACACAGTGCACAAAAACACCAACAAGAATGTCTTGAGTGAATAATTTCATAAGCAACCAACTTATCTGATCTGACTCGACCTTCTTCATTTATTTATTTATTTATTTATTTCCATATCCGTCGACCATACACACGCCGAAACTTCAGAGAAACAGTCCAAACACATTTTGTCCGTTGCCAAAAATACATAAATTCCATATATAATTTCATTAGCGACAAACTTATCTGATTTGGCTTGACCTTATTCATTCTTAATTTGTTTCCGTATCTGTCGAGATAGACACTCCAAAACTTCAGAGACTAAATGCGAACAGATTTTGTCCGTTACCAAAAATACATACATTTGAAAGCAGACAGGAATCCCTCATGTGAAACCTACATTTGGTACGTAGACTTAAAAATGACGTG